CCTTTGGATCCTGCCTATCAGCCCATAAACATGGGGCAGCATCTTCCATCTAAAACCCAAACCCAAATCAAAATACAGTAAAATTTCTTTTCGAACTCCAAATCTCCCTCCGTATCTCACTACAGTAAAATTTTTCTGAAGAGCTGTCTACACTTGCTGTCGTCATATTCTCTCTCTCTCAATTTTTTTTTTTTATTGTGGTAATATTTACTTACTGTGAAATGGAAAGAACTTAAATGCACAATTTTGATAAATGTCTATACCCCTATTAAGATATAGAACATTACCTTCACCCCAGAAAGGTCCTAGATGCCTCTTCCAATCAATTCCCACCACAAAGGCAACTAATGTTCTGATTTTTAACACTGTAGATTTAGTGGTACCTATTCTTGAACTTTATGTAAATGGAATGATATAGTATATATTTTTTGGCTTCTTTTGCTCCTCCACACGGAGGTTCATCCACACTGTTAAATTAATCAGTAGTTTTTTCATTTGTATTACTGAGTAGTATTCCATTGTATGGATATACCACAATTTGTTTATTTATTCACATGTTGAATGCATTTTTGTTTTTGTTTTTTTTTCTTTTTCTTTTTCTTTTTGCTATTGTGTTTAAAGCTGCTTTGGATATTTGTGTGTGTCTATTTTGTTTCTCTCAAATGATATGTATTCTTTCTTTTAAAACTTATGAAGCAAAATTGAAAGAAAAATATAGAAAATAATGCTTTCTGACAGCTCTCTAACTTTCCATTGATGCCAATTTTATAAACGTTTTAAAATATTGTAGTAAAATACATATAACATAAAATTTACCATCTTAGCCATTTGGAGTGTGCAGTTCAGCGGCATTAAGCATATTCACCTTGTCATGCTACCATCACCAACATCCATCTACAGAACTCTTTGCATCTTGCAAAACTTAAACTCTGTACCAGTTATACAACTCTCCATTTCCTCCTCCCCCCAGCACCTAGCAAATACCATTTCACTTTCTATCTCTATGAATTTGACTATTCTAAGAATCTCATATAAATGAAATCACAACAGTATTTGTCCTTTTGTCACTGGCTTATCTTACTCAGCACAATGTTCTCGAGGTTCACCATGTTGTAGTATGTGTCAGAATTTCCTTCCTTTTTAAACTGAGTAATATTCCATTATATGTATGTACCATATTTTATCTATTTATCTATTGATGGGCACTTGGGTTGCTTTCATATTTTGGCTATTGTGAGTAATGCTGCTATTAACATGACTGTACAAATGTCTCTTCAAGATCCTGCTTCCAATTCTTTGGGGTATATATCCAGCAATGGAATTGCTGGATTTCCATTCCCTCTTGAACCTTCTGCATTCAGTCTTGGGTCTCCACTACTATCCAGCAACCATCCCTATTACCACTATCACCAGTGACTTGCAAATTGTTAAATACAATGGTCAGTTCTCCATTCTATTCTTAATCTACTGGGAAAACTTGATACAGCATCTCTCTCCTCCTCTATGACTGTTCACTGGGCTTCCTCTGGGACACCATGCTCTCTTGGTTTCATTTTATTTTGTTGGCTATTTCTTCTTAGTCATCTTTGCTGGTTTTCTGTATTTCTTGACCCCTTAGCATTGGAGTGCCACTGGGCTCAGTCTTTATGTGTCTTCTCTAGTCTATCTATACTTACTCTTTAGGCAATTTTATCTGTTGTCTGGGCTTTAAAGACCGTATCTATGCTGATGATCCCAAATTTACACATCTATCGCATGTCACTCCCCTAAACTTTGACTCAAACTGTCTTCTCAGCACCTCTGCTTAGATGTCTAATAGGCATCACTAGCTTCTTGTATTCAAAACTGAGCCCTTGATTTTTCTCTAACAAATATCTTTTCCCCACAATCTCCTCAGATGGATGTGTCAACTCAAATGTTCCCTACACTAACAGCCCTTTATAAAATAGCAAAATCCAAGTTTCACTCTCATTTTGTGAAGCTACTTCATGGTGTAATGTTTATCACCATTTATTATATGTTTATTTGTTTATTTTCCACCCACCTACAATGTAAACTGTGTGAAGGTAGGGGTTTAGTTTGGTTTACTGCCGTGTGGCCCACCACTCAGAATTATGCCTGCAGTGTAGTAGGCACTCAACAAGTATTTATTGAATGAATCATTTCTTTAAAACTATTCCATATATAGACTTTCCCTTAATTTACACGTTTTTCTTTCAGTTAGCACTGCCAGTTTCTTTTGTAATTTAACATACTACACATACGTACGAAGCAGTTTCCCCCTCAAATAATTTACTGATTATAAATAATATTTGTACATCATGTTATAGTTTCAAAGAAGTTAGTGATAATTTCTGATATAAGGCTATATTGCTTGTCTTATTTAATGGCAGTTTTAACTGGGCTCAAAGAGTTAGAATGCTATACATCTAATAAAGAATTAATAATAATATTAAATGTAAAACCCTGGCTCTTGGTATGATTCACTTACTATTACATTATACTATTTTTTAAAATTTTATATCATGGTGGACAATAATTTAAGGCAATCTTAATAGATTATAACTATCCAGAAATGTGTAAAAAAATATTTAAAAATCCTAATATTCGTTGAGTTGGAAGTATGAGAACTAAAGGGGACTTGTTTAATCGAATCGTAGCCTGATAATGACCTGAAAAAGGATTTATGGGGAAGCTATGAGTCAATATTTCTCGTGAATCCTACTCTGTACTGAGCAGTTCTTAAAGGTCATAGAACTTGAACAGTATGGTATAAGTAGATAGGGCTTAACCTGGAAGTAAAGGGTCTGGTCTTCTAGAGGGAAGGGAAAGTAAGATGAAGGATATGCCATATAGGATAAATGCCCTCTGCCTTAGATGAAAAGTAGATGAGAGTGACAATATATGCAGTTATTAAAGAGCTGATTGCCTGAAAACTGTTGTATACAGAAGCCAGAATTTAGGCCCTAAACATTCTTCATGAATTTTGCTATGATTTTAAGAAAGAATGTTCTTTGCTTTGAAATGAATATAATATTTTATGATAGTTGTCAAAACACAATAAGCTATTTAAAAATTTAAATTAGGCAGATCTAATGAACTAGACTGTACTGTTAAATGTTGAGGTTATTTTGTGTTCTTAGCTTCTATTCTGGTATGTGGTTATGCTGTCAATTAAATATATATATATATATGAGGGCTGTGTTCTTAGCTTCTATTCTGGTATGTGGTTATGCTGTCAATTAAATATATATATATATATATATGAGGGTACTTCAGAAAATTTGTGAAAAAATGAAATTAAAAGATAATACAAATCTTTTCATAAACTTTTTGAAGACCCCTTGTGTATGTGCGTGTGTGTGTGTGTATGTGTGTGGAGTTTTCTTTTTTCTTCCTTCCTTTCATGTGGGAAAATTGTGTATGGCAGATAGGGGTTAAGAGCTTGCATTTTGGAGTTTTGAATTTCAGCTTTACCTGTTATTATCTATGTGACCATTAGCCAATAACTTAATCTTTATTTCTGTTTTCTCATTTGTAAAATGGGATAATAACAGTAGTCTATACCTCCTCTACCTCAAAGTTATTGAGGACAATGGGTTAATTCAAGTGAAATATTTAGCATTGTGTCCTGCACATAGAAAGGAGACAATAAATTGTGTGTTTTTGTTATTGGCACATTTTCTTATGACCTAATGTATTTGCGTGTATTGATGGCAAAGATAAAATCCCAAACTTCCAAATTTCTTATTTTTAAAAGAAATTCCATTATCTTTAGAGTATCTCTATATCGCAAAACTGAAATGGATAGTTGAAAACTATATATTAATTTGGCAAATGTGACTAATTTAATTAAACTCAAATGGATTCTGAAGGCTTAGCACAATTGATCTGGCACTCATCAAATTAACTGGATATTTATTAAAACTACACTTGGGTATTCCATCATTGAAGAAGCGTCTGTGGTGGAATGGAGTCTTTAACTACGTTTCTAGAATGTTCCTGCCGGTTATACAAAATGCCTAAAATGATTTTCCAGTTGGCGGTCATTTTAACCCAACTTAAATCCAAATATGCTGTATAACAAAATATATAAGCTTACTCTGCAACTCCGGCTTTGATCTTTCAGTCCACAAATATCTGTTTGGCTACTTTCATTAAAAGTCTGTTGTTAACAAATATGTGGCTTAGAATTATATACTGAAACTGATTTTAAGTTCTCTATATTATCTTGCAAAAACAGTGCCAAATATTTACAAGAAATTCATTAAAATATTATCAGGTGTGTTAAATAAAAAAAGAGTTTTTAAAAAAAATCTATATTAATGTAATAATACTACCATATATTTATGTGAAATTATAGTTTTTAAAAAATGATTTCACACTTAAGAAATATGGATTTAGGATAATGTTTTTGTCATTATTTCTCTAAGATACTGTGGCTCTTGAAACACGGGTTGAAAAGGTAGGACTCGTTGCTGTGCTAGGGATAATGTTTGTTTTTCTTCTGCTTAAATAAAAAATCAAGTTCTGTATAGTTAATTACATTTGAAAAATTATGTTTGGATTTTGATAAATACCATACCATGCAGTCATTGGAAATATTAGACTTTATGTTATTGCAGGTTTTATCAAGATTTTCAACTTGGGCCAGACTGAAGAAAATGAGGGATCTCAGCCATTTGCTCCATACCATGCAGTCATTGGAAATATTAGACTTTATGTTATTGCAGGTTTTATCAAGATTTTTCAACTTGGGCCAGACTGAAGAAAATGAGGGATCTCAGCCATTTGCAGTGCTGTTTATCACATTGTCAAGGGCGATTGAAGCAGCGCTACAACTGCACAGTAGTGATTTCATTTGCAGTAAAAAATTCATTTTCTTTTCTTTTTACTTTCAGCCTGGCCTGGCACCATCATAGGTACAGGTATATTACATTATCCAGTTTATCCATAAATTTTAATCATTGTGTTTTAACATCATAGAGAATTTGGAAAATAAATATAAACTTGTCCATAATCATTTTATTAGTCATAAACATCACTTACATTGTGATGCAGTTCCATTCATTTTTTTTCCTTATTGTTTCTTTCCTTTGGAGACTCTACTAAGAACACTTTTAAAACTGTGTTTTGAGAATCACCAGTGAAGAAGTATATGGGGATTTTTGGAATCAAATAGTATACATATCATTTGAAACTAATTATGCCATGTAAATCCATATAGAAAGATAAAAGAACTCAAAAAAATGAAGGAGTTTTGACTCAGACATAATGCTGTTTAGTTTCTACCAAGTCGAGAAGTTTGACATGAGGCTACTGGTTGTTTTATGATTTATTCATAAATTTTACATGTATACACACATCTAACACATATACCTAACACTGGCATTGCAGCTATTACATTCATTTTGATAAGAGAGTAATTAGTGTTTACAAGTTAATTTTCCTCAAAGAGTTAAATCTTAGCATGTACAAATCGTTATTCCTTTTTTTTTGGTAGCTGGCCAGTATGGGGATCCGAACCCTTGACCTTGGTGTTATAACACTGCGCTCTGTCATATTTTTGGTTTCTCAATTCTCATGATATCTAGGCATGTAATTGGAAAAATAAATATAAGGAAAATAACATCTTTATTCAAACATTTTCTCAAAATCATGCTATTATAAGATTGTATGATTGTATTTTTGAAAATATCTTTTAAGGTATGCCTTGAATGTGGAGAAGATTATTGTTCAGGCTGCTTTGCTAAAATTCACCAGAAGGGGGCACTAAAGCTCCACAGAACAACTCTTTTGCAGGTATGCCTTTCTAAAATGCTTTACTTGTAGTGTATTTGTAAAATATTTCAACATAAAGACATTTAAAACATGTTTAATTATCTAGAATTCAGGATGTCTTACATTAATTTCTAAAATTCTATTACGTACAGTCTTTGACATATATCTTAAAATTATTTTACTAAACACTAATCTAGATTCTGTGTTACTATTTAAACTATGTTTTAATATAGTTGCTGAAACACTTAGCTTGATTAGAGTCTTTACATTATGCATTCTACCTGTGAACTTGACATTTAAAACTTAGACAATATTTTTATCTATCGTGGTTTCAAATGAACACATGGTTTATTTTAAGTATTATTTCTATCGAGTTTATATATAAAAATCTCTTGTTTTCTTTTCATGTTTATTTTAAAAAGTAGTCTTTTATTTGTTCTCACCCATTATAATTTAGATAGGCCTATTTTACAGTTTTCTACATTTTCTTCTATATATCAGGACCTTTTATTTATTTATATGGTCATTGCTTTTTGAAATGACCAAACTCAAACTCTGGCAGATGTCTTTAAAATTCTAACACTTAAACAATAAATATGGTTTGATCTAAACATATCATTGCACCAGTTACATTTAATGATTCTATTGGTTTGTCATAGATTGCATTCATTTTACAGTAATTTATTCAACAAATATTTATTGAGTACCTTCTAGGAAGTAGGGTCTGTGCTAGGCAGTGACATTATACAGATTAATAATGCTAAGATCCTGCCTGTAAGGACCTGGAAATAAAAGTGAGAACCAAGGACCTTGTGTAATGGGTTAATAATTTCAATATTTTCCTGTAGGCAAAGGGAAGAAGATGATCAGATCTGTATTTAGAAATATCACTGTTAGATTTCAATCTTTACATGCTACCTTGATATAAATATTGATAGCTTTCAAGGATTTTTTTTTTCTAATTTATCAGTATACAGTGTCGTTGATTTTCGTGTCCCTTTACCAATTCCTCCGTTTCCCCTTTCCTCCCACCCCTCTCCCCCATCACTTTGAGATACCATCTCACTCCAGTTAGGATGGCTAATATCCAAAAGACTGAGAATGACAAGTGCTGGAGAGGTTGCAGAGAAAAAGGAACTCTCATACACTGCTGGTGGGATTGCAAAATGGTGCAGCCTTTATGGAAAATGGTATGGAGGTTCCTCAAACAATTACAGATAGATCTACCATATGACCCAGCTATCCCACTGCTGGGTATTTACGCAGAGGAATGGAAATCATCATGCCAAGGATGTTTTTGACCCAAGTTATGATAACTGCAAATCATAAAATAGACCTAACTTATTTACCAAAGCCAGTTACTTTTGAGAGGCCACTCAGTGTTTAGAGACTCTGGGTAGAAATGATGGAGAGAGAACAAAAAACAACCCACTACTTTGCTCCCTCAAGATATCATAATTGAACAGCCATGAGAAATGAAAACCAACCTATATAAAGGTAAATATAATTGTTAAGTATATAAATAATATGGAATTTAACTAAAAGCAATCCAGTTTAAGGATAAATAGTATAATTACCCCACTGTGAATCCGTATTGGGAATTTTTCACTCAATGATTTATTCAGCACAGTTTCTGAGCTGTCAGTCAGTGAATCCATGCACTGGGCTAGCTGATGTGTAAGACACAGAGAAGAACGAGGCATAACTCCTTCCCTTAATTTCAGTATTTGAGCTTTAAGACTTACCCTCGTTTGATTCTCTTTCCTTCTCTCTCCTTCCTTTCCCTCTCCCCTTTCTTTTTTTCTCCTCTTTCTCTCTCTCTACATGTCTCCGCCTAACCCTCTTCCCCCAATTTTAAATGACAATTAAGCTTTGCCATGATAGGGTTGATTGTTATCCAGACACACATATATGATGTGGGTCAAATCATACACACTAAAAGCCGCAAAACATAGATTATATTTTCTAAACATTGAGCATTTTTCTATTCCATATTAATATCATTAAAATGGATGAGTCCTATTTCCTAACACTGAAGAATATGATCTTTGTGGATTAGAATCTCATTAAGTTTTAGATGTAGAATGGTTGAGAAAATTTAAAAATATTTACTGAGTATATACCTCATGCCATTCACTTTCTTTTGTAAATAGAAATATACATCGTTTCTTGTGTACACCTTTCTTCAGGTCATGAAATACCTTTGCACAAAGAATTTATGGCAACCTACAGGCTAGTTTTTCCATCTTTACTGAGGTATAATTGACAAATGAAAATTTTATGTTTTTATTAGAAATATACATCGTTTCTTGTGTACACCTTTCTTCAGGTCATGAAATACCTTTGCACAAAGAATTTATGGCAACTTACAGGCTAGTTTTTCCATCTTTACTGAGGTATAATTGACAAATGAAAATTTTATGTTTTTAAGGTGTACAAGTTTGACATTTTGATACACATGTACCCATACATGAAATAATTGCCAAAGTCAATCTGATGATCATTTCCATCACTTCACCTTATATCACTAGTTTCTTTTTCTTTTTATGCTAAGAACACTGAAGATACCGCCAGCATCATGTTTTCTAGTTTTGACTGCAGGGAGGAAAGTTTGGTAAGCCACAAATAGTAAAATGGTATTTAAGTTCCTAGAGAATCTCAAATTGTTTAAGACACATTTATCTCTAAAAGCTAACATGAATGAATTTCACAATATGTATACAAGTCAAAGAGCATGGCAAGTAGTCATGAACCCTTCATAGTTTCTTCAAATACGGGGGTTCTTTTATGCATATAAAATCAAAGTTAAATAACGATAAAGAACCATGTGTCTTCCGTGCTCATGTTTCCTCTCTGTATTTCCCTCCCGTCTGTGGAGACTAAAGTTACGACTTGGTGCTGTCACAGGGAGAGTTCTGGGAAGTGCATTGTTTGCTAGGAAATGGTGAGGTTGGCACTTAGCAAGGAGCACGCACGGACCGCCTGTACTGGGGGGTAACCTACATGCCTAGTCTCTTTTCACATAACATCGTTTCACCTCCTGAGATTGCTGAGGAATGAAGTACTTTGAAGGAGACAATTTTTCCAGATAATTCAAGTAAATTAGTTAATTTATTCATAAAACAAAAATTTTAAATGGAAAAAATTGTGGTTTTGTTTTGGTTTCCTTTTTTAGATTCTACATATAAGTGAGATCGTGCAGTATTTGTCTTTCTGTGCCTGGCTCATTTCACTTAGCGTAATGTCCTCCAGGTTCATGTTGTCAAAAATGGCAGTATCTCCTTTTTTTTTTTTTTTTTAAGGCTGAATAATATTCCATTGTATGTATATAGGTTTTCTGACCACACACATACACACACAAAGTAACTATATGAGGTGCTAAATATATTAATATGCTCAACTGTAGTAATAATTTCATTATGAATATCTATATCAAAATATCAGGTTGTACACTTTGAATATATGTAATAATAGCAAACTACATAAGTAAATAAAGTTTTTTCTTTTTTTTAAGGAAACTATTTCAAAATGTATTACATACTCCCTTTCTTGGTAAATAGATTACAGTAAATACAGTTTCACTATATGTTAGTGATTTATGCCCATTATAATGGCCACCTGTTATTATAACATTTAATAAGAAAGAGGCCTCAAATAGCTGATATAGTGTGTATAACCACACATTCCTCCTAAGGTATTTGCCCTTCTGGTTAGTACTTTATTTCTCTCCTATTTCATGGCCTTACCCATTCTCTCCCATCATTTCTTGACTCTAATCAATTGTCCCTTTAGCTATCTGTCATTTTCTTCCTATTTCTGTCCTCTGCTTAAGGTTTTAGTTTTTTCCTGTCATGATGCTTTTTCCGCTCCTCGTTCCTTTCTCTTTCCCTATGCATTAAGGTCTAGTTGTTGTGCCTTGGCCTCGATGGCCATTTGGTCAGTAATGAATGGATATCTCTTTCGCTTAGCCCTCATTAATCAGTCATATGATGTTTTTCATTTTTTACCATTTTAGTAATTATTAAAGTCATGAGGCTTTGTTTTCTGCTTAATTTATACCTAATTTGAGAAATTAGGGCAGACATCTGGTAGATGAATATTAAGCATTACTATATCAAAAGCAAGCATTCTAGGCTAATGGCTTTCATTCTTTGCATTCTTTAGCCTATGCTGTTGTTTTTGATTATTATAAAGTATAGCCAAATTTGATAGCTGCAAACCATTTCAGCCCCTGTCTTACAGCTCAGTGACTCCTGTGAATTCATGGTCAGCAGGAACCATTTTGAATAAGCAAATCTTGTTTTACTTAAAAGATAAACCCCTGAAAAATTGAAGGCAAACTATTACTGTTTACATGTTGACATTATGATTTCAAAGGGTCTTTCTTTTGATTTATGATTGATTTATACATGGCAGTGATTCAAAACACTTCCAGTTGTTTTTTTTTTTTTTTTTGCTTCCACAACCTCTGTTAAGTAGGCAATTATCTGCAAAATAAAGCATAAATGCATAAGGGAAACTACTAAGGATAAACATTCTACTTCTAAATTTAGAAAGATTGTCAACTCTAAGGGTTGAAGCAAAAGGTTTTTCAGATGAGAAATAAGGTCTTAATATATGAGGGATTCCTATTTCCTTTTAACAACACATGATCAGAAAGAAGAGACAAGTTTAATTAGAGAGAATAAAAGATGGGGGAAAACAAACAAACAAAAAAAGCATTCTATTGTGAAGTATGACAAGCACAGGGAGGTTAGATTAAGCAAATCACTAATAGATTATGGTAAGCATATTTCCTTAATTGAAATGGAGATTTTCTTAACTGGAAAGAAGAAACCTTGGGAATGGGAGTGGTTAATAATGAAAGAAGGGGTAAGTGAGACAGAATTGCCATGTGTTCTGGTATGAGGCATATATATGTATATATATGCAGACTTTTTTTTTTATCTCCAAAGAATGTTATGTTATATAAATACGAATTCATATGTGAAAATACGTTTACGTGAACATACTTACAGGAA